TGCTGGCCGGGCACGGAGAAGGAGTGCTGCATTCGCCTGAAATGCGGAATATCACAGTCGGAGGACTACGACGTCCTGGTAGGGATGGAGCTGCTGTACAAGGTGGGGGCAACTATTTGCACCTGGCAGGAGAAAATGTTACACAGGGTGCAGTACTGGGACCCGAAGAGCGCGGTGGGAACCCTGCCGGTCCGATTCGTGAAGCAGGAGCCCCGCGCCGCCTACCGAGCGGAAGAAGCAGACCTGTCCAAGGAGCAGGACGACTGGACCTGGCAGGAGTATGCCGAGGAGGGAACGCAGAGGATAGAACAGACTGAGACCAGGGCAGCGGACGCCCGACTTGAAGGATCGAGTCAGCAAGACCTGGTGTCTCGAAGGCGCCATATGCATCCTCGAGCTCTTCGGTGGTATTGGGACGGAGCTGGCCGCGGCACTGAAGGCCGGCTGTTTCGTACGGAAATGGATCCACGTGGTGAAGGATCCGGTCGTGAGGAAAATGGCATATCACCACGCGCTCAAACTCCTGGAGGAATACCCGCAGCAGATGTCGATCTCGGCGATCCACATGGAGGGCGAGGGGGGGGTGCATGACGTCCGCGACATCACTTCGGCCGCAGCTGGAAGAGTGGGGGACCCATTGACTTGGTGGTCGCGGGATGGAAGTGTCAAGGGTACTCGCGGGCCGGGGAAGGGAGAGGGATGGACGATCCTCGGGGGGGCGTCGTTCGGAGACCTAGAGGGGGTGTTGCGGATGATACAGCACTCGGGCAGGGAATTCATATTCATCCTGGAGAACGTGGATATGGCAGATGACAGGAGGGAACCGGTGAAGCAGGCCTTCGAGGAAATCCAAGGAGTGCTGGGGAGGGGAGTGCCGGCTGACGCAGCGCAGTTGGGCTCGAGGGCGCACCGACCGCAGGCGGTACTGGCAGAACGGCGTATCGGAAGCGGTCCTGCGCCATTCCTTGGCTCAAATGCAGAGGCCACATCTCCGACTGGTGAAAGATATCCTAGGCCCGAACCGGATCCCTGTGCCAGTGACAGTAGAAGACCACCCTTCGCAGTACCAGTGCAACGTGCCCGGGGAGCCCAGGAGGGCCTGGCCAACGCTGGTCTTGTTTGCGGAGGCCCGGGGGTTCATCATGGAAGGACCCTTACCCGGGCCAGGGATGGTATACGACTCGCAGGGCCCGGCGATGGGAAGCGCCCACCGCAGAAGATAGGGAGTTGGCGATGGGGCATAAGTGGGGAGCGACGGCCCATCCAGAAGTGACGGAGGCACAAAGGAGGGCAGCCTTGGGGCGGGCGATGGACCTGAACGTCATGACATGGATCCTGGAGACCATCAGGATGCACCTGAAGACCAAGGCGGTGCAGCGGGAGTTGGATGGGAGCCTGTGTTATCAGGACGAACGCGAGGCAGCGTGGAGACGACAATAGCTGGACAAGCATAGAGGCACAGAGGACAGCCCGCATACAGGAAGGGTGGACCTTCATGGTGGCCGAGGCAGTACCGGAAGGTGACGAAGCCGAAGGAGGGAGTAGCGGGCGAAGAGCGGCAAGAGAGCAGCACAGCAGCCGAGAGGTGCAGACCCCCGTGGCCGGGGAAAGACGCGCTGACCGAGAAGGAGTGGGAGATAGGCGGAGGGTTAGGGGTGGAAGCCACGGCAGCCTTGAGGGGAGTGTTGGGCAGACCATCGGAAGACTTTCGCCTTCACAGGCTCCAGGAACTAGGGAGATGCCGAGTGCAAGAGATGCGGATCACGCTAAATAGCGAAGCCCCAGTGTACCACCGCAAGCAGAGCATGAGCCCAGGGGATGTGGAAGTATGCACGGCCAAGTGCGCCGAGCTGCTGGAAGCCGAGCTGATACGGAGGTCAGAGAGCGAGTTCGCGGCGGCTACAGTGGTCGCCTCCAGAACTGACATAACGGGAGAAGTGTCGGCTAAAACGAATGTGCGGGGACTACCGTGGGCTAAACAAGGTGACCGTTGCCTGAATCGGTACCCAATGCAATCGGCGGAGGAAATCTTTGATAAGCTGCACGGTGCGACGGTGTTCTCAGACCCTAGACCTGCGCCAGGGCTTCAATCAGATTCTGATCCGAGAGGAGGATTGCAAGAACACCGCATTCCACGGTCCCCGACGGCCTATACGAGTGGAACGGTGATGCCTTTTGGCACACGGAATGTGCCGGCAGTATTCCCAGAGGACGATGGACTCAGTGCTAAGGGGAGTACCAGCCGCGGCCTGCTACATAGATGACGTGATAGTGTTCAGGTGCGAATGAGGAGGACCATGTGCGGGACGTGAGGGACACGCTCGATAGCGATAAGCCAAGACGAGCTGACCTGTCACCCGAAGAAAGTGTAAGTTCGGCCAGAGGACCGTGCAATACTTGGGGTTCGAAGTGGGGGACGGGAAGCTGAGCGTCCAAGAGGCGAAGGTGGAGGGTCTTGGACCGAGTGGCCCACCTCCCACCGACCGCTCCTCCCTGCGGGCAGTCCTCGGGTTTCTCGGATACTACCAAAGGTTCGTCCCGAACTTCAGCCGAACCGCGACCGTCCTGAATCGCCTCTTGAGGGAAGAGCAGACGTGGCAGTGGGGAGAGGAGGAGCAGCGGGCACTAGACCATTAACCCGAGCGGTCAAAATGGCGACGGTACTGGCCCTCCCAATAAGAATGACTCGTTCGTTGCTATACACCGACTGGAGCAGCGCGGGGATGGGAGCCGTCCTCTGCCAAGAGAAGAAGGGGGAAGAGAAGGTGGTGGCTTTTGCTAGCCGCAGCTGAATCCGGCAGAAACAGAACTATAGCTCCTATGAAGGGGAAGGCCTAGCGGCAGTCTGGCAATTACCCACTTCCGGGTGGTACCTGCAAGGGCGGCCCTTCACACTCGTCAACGGACCACCAGCCTCTGACGTGGCTGATGATGACCAGGCGCTCACGGGGCCGGAACGCGAGGTGGGCTATGAGCTTCAGGAATATGATTTCGTTATCAAACATAGGCCGGGCAAGAGCATGCAGCACGTGGACGACCTGTCGCGGCAGCCCGCGCTGGAAAGGCCATCGGCGTATTTGGTGACCATGGCCCTGGACATTGACCGAGCCGGGGCTAAGAAGAGTGAAAAGAGAGGACCGGAAGACGTCTGGGAAGACCAGGAAGTACTGCAGTGGGTTCAAGGCAAGACAGGGGAGAAGGGGGCAGTACCCGAGCGAGTGCGGGCGCGGGGGGTTCACTACAGGTGGTACCAGGATCAACTGCAGGTGAACACGAAGGAAGGCTGGAAGGTAGTGCCGGAGCCAGGGCAGAGGGAGGAGATCATTGCGCGAGTGCATTGGCAGCTGGGGCATTTCGGGGGATTGAGGAGACGCAGCCAGCTGGTGGAGACTACGTGGTGGTGGGCCGGAATGCGCAAGCAAGTGAGGGAATGGGTACAGAGCTGCGAGGTGTGCAGCCTGGAACTGGGGCGGAACTGGACCGCGGGAGGCAGGAGTTGCAGGTCACTGCCCATGATACGGACTAGGGTTCCGGTGGTCCTTAGATCTGGCCGGGGAAATGCCACTGAGCCGCAAGGGCAAGCGATACATACTCATCATGATCGAGCACGGCAGCAAATGGTGGAATGGAGGCGCTGCCCAGTAAGAATTCAGCACGGATCGCAGAAAGCATTCGAGGAACAGGTCCTTACCCGGTTTGGAAGCGTACGGGGAGGTGCTAACAGACCAAGGCACCGAATTTCAAGGACAGTTCGACCAGCTGCTGAAGGAGACAGGGATTACACATCGGCGAACATCGCGGTACCACCCGCAAAGCGACGGCCTTACCGAGAGATTCGTACAGACGCTGAAGAAGGGGCTGCTGCGTACGGAGAACAGTATAAGCGGGACTGGGACCTTACGGCGCCCATGGGTCACAGCGGGGTAACCGCTTTAGCAGAGCAGGCGCCTCTAAGGGACATGTCGCCGTATTACCATCCTGCTAGGGAGAGAGCCAGTCCTGCCCATTGACAGCACCGAAACTGCTGACAGACACATTGATGGCGGGATCAGAGGAAGCGTGGGTAGCAGTGGCGGAGGCACGGGCCAAATACCTGCAGGAGGCTGCTGCCGGCTGCCTTGGAGAACCTCCATGTAGCCCAACTGCGGGATGTCCAGCGATACAGGCAGAGGGGAAAGCAGAGCGGAGGAGCGAGGGCACCAACCATTCTGCCAGGAGGGGAAGTTTACCTGAGGAAAGCGAAGGAAGACTTGCTGGATATCGGACTGACAACAGAAAGGTGGAGAGTGAAGGAGGTGAAGGAGTCGGGGTTGATAGTACTAGCTAGCGCCAAGGGGGAGGAGTGGAGAGACCATCTCATGAACGTAGCGCCAGCCCAGGCAACGCCGAACTGGGCTAGGCCAGCTGGAGGCCGGCCAGGGGAGCACCCTAGGCTATGGACTCAGGGATCCATCGGCTAATCCAGGAGCAAGGAGCCGAGGAGGGGGGCAAGTGAGGTGAGACAGAGAAGCCAGGAACAAGGCAGGAGCCTCAGCAAGAAAGGCAGTGGAGAGACAGGGTCCAAAAAGAGAGGGAGGTTCAGAGGAAGTAGCGTATTCCGACAGCTGTCACGCAATTAATAAAGGCAGCAGTAGTATAACGTAGGAAATGAAACCTTGATATAATTGTGTGACAGAGTAGTGGTAAGCGCTGGCTTGTAGCGAAACAGATAAGGTAGGCGGGAACCAAAACCGGAACGGGCTCCCTTCAGCGGGAAAGGCCGAATATTGCCAGCGACAGCTGGCCAACGGTACGAAGTGGCAGCATACTTAGGTGCGCAGGAGGCCATTGGGCCCCTGCTTGCTTGTTTGTTTTCTCAATTAGCTAAACATTCTTCCAAACCCTAGCGCGAGAAGCCAGTTTCAAGCAACAGCCAGCCGAGCAACCCTCTAGTTACAGGGGCAAGTTAGTGGTCCTTGGCAAGTGAGTGAGACAGAGAAGCTAGGAACAAGGCAGGAGCCTCAGCAAGAAAAGGCAGTGGAGAGACAGGTCAAAAGAGAGGGAGGTTCCAGAGGAAGTAGCGTATTCCGACAGCCTGCCTTACGTGCCCCTCCCTCTCCCCCACTACTCACGTCTGGTGCTCTCCCCCAGTCCCTCACCTTTTCCTTCAACCTTTCCACCTTAAACCCTTTCCCTCTTCTCCATCTCCATCCTTTACTGCATGCAAGATGTGAAAAGGGGCAAGAAGGCAAAGGGAGGGGCAGGAAGGCACAGGGAGGGACAGGAAGGCACAGGGAGGGATAGAAAGGCACATGGAGGGTTAGGAGCACAGGGAGGGGCAGGAAGGCACAAGGAGGGATGGACATGAAGGTAGAGGGAGGGACAGGAAGTCACAAGGAGGGATAGGAAGGCACAGGGAGGGACAGGAAGGCACGGGGAGGGATAGGAAGGCACAGGGGAGGGCCATGAAGGTAGAAGGAGGGACAAGATGGCACAGGGAGGGGTGGAAAGGCACAGGGAGGGACATGAAGTCACAGGAAGGCATAGGGAGGGACAGGAAGATAGAGGGAGGGACAGGAAGGCACAGGGAGGGATAGGAAGGCACAGGGAGGGCAGGAAGTCACAGGGAGGTACAGGAATGCACAAGGAGGGACAGGAAGGCACGGGGAGGGACAGGAAGGCACGGGGAGGGACAGGAAGGCACGGGGAGGGATAGTAAGGCACAAGGAGGGCCCGAAAGGCACAGGGAGGGGCAGGACGGAACAGGGAGGGACAGGAAGGTAGAGAGAAGGACAGGAAGGCAGAGGGAGGGACATGAAGGTACAAGGATGGGCAGGAAGGCACAGGGAGAAGGCATATGTAGAGACAAGAAGGCAGAAGGAGGGGCGGGAAGGCACAAGGAGGGATAGGAAGGCACAGGGAGGGGGCAGGAAGGCACAGGGAGGGGCACGAAGGCACAAGGAGTGGAAAGAAGGCAAAGGGACGCACAAGAATGCACAAGGAGGGGCGAGGAAGGTACAGGAGGGAAACGAAGGTAGATGGAGGGATAGGAAGTCAGAGGAAGGGACAGGAAGGCACAGGTAGGGACAACGAAGGAAGAGGGACAAGAAGGAAGAGGGACGGATATGAAGGGCAGAGGGAGGGACAGGAAGGCAAATGGAGGGACAGGATTTTACAGGGAGGGGCAGGAAGGTACAGGAGGGACAGGAAGGTAGAAGGAGGGACAAGAAGGCAGAGGGAGGGACGGGAAGGCACAGTGAGGGATAGGAAGGCACACGGAGGGACACGAAGGAAGAGGGAAAAAAAGGAAGAGGGACAGACAGACTGGCAGACAAAAGGACAGGAATGTCAACAGGAGTGTTGTTTGGCCCGTCCTCGCTTGGGCGGAGCCGACCTCGGTGGTCGGATGTGCGGGGGTTGCAGCCGGCCTGCAGCAGTGGGCACAGGGGCCACTGCAAGGGCGCCGAGCTGGAGGGGCGCCTGGCTGGAGGGCGCCGGGCAGGAGGACGCCGTCCTGGACGCCTGGTTGGCGTCCTGGAAGGCCAGACGCCGCCCTGGGCGTCCACACGGCGTCCGGGAAGGCCGGACGCCGACCTAGGCGTCTGCACGACGTCCTAGGAACCTGGGACGCCGCCCTGGGCGTCTGCACGGCGTCCTGGGGGCCCGGACGCCGACCTGGGCATCCTGGGGGGCCCAGACGCCGACCTGGGCGTCTTGTCGGCGTCCTGGGAGGCTGGGCGCCGCCTTGGACGTCTGCAAGGCGTCCTGGGCGTCTGGACGCCGACCTGGGGGTTCGGACGGTGTCCAAGGGCGTCTGGACGCCAGACTGGGGACGCCGGGCATTGGTGGCCGGCTACGGACTGCGCTGGTCGGCCCAGGCGTGGTTTGCTCGGGTCGACCGGGATACCCGGGCGACGTGTGCGAGTGTCGCCGGGGTGGAGTCTGCGAGGCCGACCTCGGGGGTGGTATCCCGAGGTCGACGTGGCTGGTGGGCGCAGTCGCTGGCATGGAGTCTGCCAGGCGTCTGCGCTGTGCTCGTGACAAGGTGTGGAGCACCAACCATCTGCGCGCGAACTGCGAAGCAGGTGCACCATTGTCCTGCGGGTGCAACGCTGTGCAGCCGACTTGCTGCAGCGTTGGCACACGGTGGACCTTGCAATGTTGGCGAACCGCTACTCTGCAAACGCTGGAGCGGTGCGAGCGCTGCTGCGCTGGAGTGCGGTCGACCATGCTGCGCTGGAGGTCGAACAGCAGCCTAGCTAGCCCTGATGTAGTCTGTGTTGCCAATGTTGTTGAACAATTGTTGTCAATCTTTGCTAGTGAAACTCTTGCAAAATCTCCCTGTGAATGTTCAAGCAGAGAACACACAAGAAAAACGACTAAGGGAACGCAGAGATCACACGAGCACCCGTGCCTAGCCCACAACCTAGCTCCCGTTGCTAAAGTTATCTCCGCATGGTGCTGTGAGCGTGGACGACACCGCGACGTAGTTTCAGTCTAGCCGACTTTGCACTTACCGATCGTGGTTCGTAGACCGGCAGCCGTGCAGTCACTAGCGTGCGCGTAGGTGACGCCGAGGTGATGGACACCGTGGAGGCACAGCTGGAAAATGCGAGGAGACGCCATGAGGCCCAGGAGTACGGGGCGATACCCTGGGCAAGTCGTCGAGGCTGGACTCCGCTCCGTGTGAGCAGCGGAGCACCTCCCTTCTCGGCCTGCCTCTCCTCGACCGGTGAACAATGACGGGCGGCGTCGACGGTGGGCGTCAGCGCCGGTGAAGGACAGGTTGGCAGCAGTGCGGGAGGCACGTCGAGGCAACGAGGTGTGATACACGCCGGTGAAGCCGGCGGCGTTCAGGCGCGAGGGATGTAGTCGTCGACGGCTGCAGGCTCCTCGCAGGGCGACATCGGAGGGCGTCGAAGCGGAAATGTTGCCGATGTCGGCGACCCAGGGTGACGGCGGGCAGGATTGCACCGAGCTACGGCTACTTCAAGTTTACGCCAAACAGGATCTTGGTCACCCCCGCCGCTCGTTGGTCGACAGGACATACTCACCTGGAAGGAAGCCATCGAGCCCCAGCTGGAGATGGCCGGGCTGATCGGCTTCGCCCAAGGGACCGTGGCGACACCGGAGGAGCACCACGCCGACTTACGAGCAGAGTTTTGCGCCGTGCAGCTGTTGACCTTCACGGTCATCTCGCGGTGCTGCTTGGCCGGGCGTGCAGATCGCTCTGAAGTGGTGCAGGGAGTACCTTGACGCCGAACACCGGGCATGGCACTTCATTGAGTCTACGTACCAGGGTCCACCGACGACTTGTACATCGCCCAGCTTGAGGGGCAGCTGACGCACCTGCGTATGGGTGACGAGGAGACGGCTACCGACTACTGCAAACCGAGCCCGGCAAATTCTCGCCACCATCAGGATGGCCGGCGCGCAGTACTCGACGGCGTCGTATATCACCCATGTCATGCAGGGACTCTCGAGTAGCTACAACCTCCTGAAAGCGGCCGTCAATGGCGCCGAGCACGAGGGCGACGCTCAACGAGGACAACTTGACCCTCGTATATCCTGCAAGATGAAGCGATACAGGAGGCAGAGCGGTCCCCGGAGCTCTTGGCACAGGCAAACTTCGTTGCCCAGGCGAAGCAAGGTGGTCGACCGGGGCAGCGTGGGCAGTCCGGCGGCGGTGGTGGCAGCGGGTGGAAGCCGGCGAAGGATGCCGAGAAGCAGAAGTCTGCCACGGGTGGCGGCCGAGGAGGAGGAAGCCGGCGTCGGGAGTGCTGGATCTGTCACAGCCCCGACCACCTCTCCTTCGAGTGCCCCGACCGCAGCGATACCGACGACGACAGCGTCAAGGGAGCCCGCGGGAGGTCGGCCAGCCGTCGTCCACGTCGAGGAAACCAGCCGTGCAAGGAGAAGCAGTCGATCAAGTCGACCTCGGCGAAGGACGCCGACTCCTCTGCTGGTGGCAAGGGGCGAGACGACAAGGCGGCGTCGTGCTCGCCGGTCGGCGTCGTGGAACCGACCGTCTTGCTGGCGCCGGAGGCCAGTGAGGACTTCCAGGCGGTGGCAGCAGCTGTGCAAGCTAACCCGGCGGTGGTCCTGCTCGACAACGGCTGCTCGCACCACCAGATGTGGACGAAGGAGGTCTTCGTCGACCTGCAGCCGAGCGGCGACGTCAAGCATGTGCGCGGGCTCAATGGGGCGCTGCAGGACGTGCAGGGCCGCGGCACCATCCGGGGTGGAAGGAGAGGCCGGGAAGCAGGTGCTCATCCCCAACGTGCTCTACTTCCCAGGCGTGTGAGTAAACCTGCTTTCGGCCGGCCGGCTGAAGGAGCACGGCGTGAAGCTGCAGGAGGGACGACAACGGGATGCTTCTCGTCTCAGCGGCGGGAGAAGGTGCTTCGGCCGGGAAACGTACACCGGGCGTGTTTCTCTGCAACCGACCTGCGCCCCTGCTCGGCCAAGCAGACAACGCCCACCCACGGATGTAGTGGCCCTGCGGGCGATCGTCTTCGGCGACAAAGGCAGACGCCGAACAGGATGCACGCGAGGCTGGCGCACGTCGGCATGGACACCATCCGGAGCTCGGCGAAGCACAAGGTCGCCACCAAGCTGGACCTCAAGTCGGCGTCTGGCGCTGACTCACCGTGTGTTTCGTGCGTCGGCGGGAAGCTGGCGCGACACACCTTCCTCGACAAAACCTCCGACGCCGACGAAGTGCTGGCCGTCGTTGCACATCGACCTGTGCACGCCGTTTGCGTGGCCGCCAAGGATGGTAGCTTGTACTTCTTGCTGCTGAAGGACCGCAAGACCCGCTACGTGTGGGTAAGGCCGGTCACCAAGAAGTCGGATGCGTTTGCAGGCGTTCGTGCAGTGGGCTGGCGGTGGCTGAGCAGGCAGACGAAGGCAGTTGGTGCTGATGCTAGCGCTCTGACCGTGGAGGGAAGTTCCCTCGGGAAGCAGTTCAACCGACTTCATGACCAGCAAGGGGATCGTCCACGATCTGACCTGCCCGTGACACCCGCAGCAGAACGCATGGCGGAGCGGGAGATGAGAACGCACATGGGCGTGCAGCACAACTGGTTGGCACCTCGCTCTACGCCAGGCCATCTGGGTCCGCAACTGCCTTGAGCGGTCGGCATTGCCGCCTGGGACGACGCCGTACCAGCTGCTCATTGGGAGAAGCCCGACTTGTCGCTGGCACGGATGTGGGGCTGCATGGCGCAGTTCTTGGTCCCCGAGCAGCAGCGTGGTGGGAAGCTGCAGCCGAAGGCTCGGTGGGGCCTTCACCTTGGCGTGTCGGAGGAGAGCAAGGGCTGGGAGCTCCTTGACATCGCCGACAACCGAGTGGTCACCACGTCGGACGTGGTGTTCTACGAGAGCATGTCGCTGGAAGAGTGGAAGTCGGCGTACGGGCCGGCGTCAGGGCGGGATGCCAGTTCACCCGCCAACGGACACACCTCGACGGCGACGCTGCCTCTGCTCGTCGAGGTCGGTGAGCTTGCTGGTGAGGACGCCGAGGACGTCCCCAAACCCTGCCCTCCACCGGCCCCTCCCCTAGTTGCTGACTTGCATGGGCTGACCCCGGACGTCTGCCTCCCGGCGATGAGGGGAGAAGTGGGGCGTCACCTGTGGCGCCGGCCCCAAGCATCGCCGGTGGCCGCCGTGATGCTGTGCCAGTCGGCGTGGGAGCAAAGCTGACGCCGACCAGGAGGCAGCAGGTGGTGCCGCCGACTTTGGTAAAGCCGGCGAAGGAGGCTCCTGCAGAACAGCAGCTAACAGGGGAGCACCGCAGCAGCGACGCCGACCAGGAACAGTCGACGACCGGGCAGTCGGCAGGGGATCCCACCGCAGGGGAGAAGTTGGCTGGGACGCCGACTGAGGTGCAGCAGGACGCCGAGGACAGCGACGACAGCGACGATGGAGGGGACGCCGAGGAGGTCCAGCCGGGACCACGGCGTACAGGCCGACTTCGGAGGCCGCCTAACTTCTTCGTCCCCGCTACCTTCACCACGGTGTACGACGTGGACGATGATGCCGGCGACCTGCTGTACGACGACGCCGAGGAGGATAAGGAGTTTCCGGAGCTCGACCCTGACATGCTGCTGACCCCGAGCACCGTTGGGACATCTCGATAATGACGGTGAAGGAGGCGTTGGCAAGCTGGAAGGGCCCGGCGGTGAAGGCCGCCATGGAAGAGGAGATCCGCAGCCTCATCACATGGGCACGTGGGAGCTGGTCGAACGCCCGCCGGAGTGAACATCATAAAGAACCGGTGGGTGTTGACGACGAAGTACACATCGACAACACTGTCGAGCGGGAGAAGGCGAGGCTGGTTATAAAGGGCTTCACGTAGGTGTATCGGTGTCAAACTATATTTATATAGTTTCTATATGTTAGTCTAGGTTGTTGTACAATTTGTTACACTTGTGCTAGGACACTTGCTATGGTTTCCTATATCTTGTTTGTTCATCCTTTTCCTTAGTCAATTTCTCACGCTAGTTAGTTTCTTGACATGGTATAGAGCTAAGCGATCCGATGGGCCCACCCGCCCCGTGACCCGACCTAGCCCGAAGCGCCCTAAGGCCCGAAGCGCCCCGGTTGCTTCGTTAGCCCGTGCGTCACCCGTTTTCGAGTCACCCGTTTAGGCCCTCGCGTCACCCGTTTCTGCCCCCGCGCGTCACCCGTTTGTGCCCCGCTCGACTTGCCCGCCAGTCCGCTAGCGCGCGTCAGACCCGCGCGGCCGCTAGCCTTAGACGCACGCGCACCCACGCGCACGTAAGTCGCGACCTATTGCGAGTAGGGGAGGAGCCCGCTACCCGCGGCTCGTCGCCTCACACGTCGCCCATTCGGGCTGAAACCGTCGCCTTACCTTGGAACCCGTCGAAACCCACCTCCCCACTGGTTAGAATCGTTTCCACCGGTCAAAAATCGTCACCACCCGCCGCCCCACGCGTTAGCACCCTCCTCACGCCCTGAAACCGCCGCGCCCACCAGTTTGCACCCTCCCCACGCCGTGAAACCCGCCCCCTACCGGTTAGAAAATCGCCCTTACTCGTCGCCCGCCACCTTACCCGCCACCCCAACCGTTAGCACCCTCCCCATGCCCTGAAACCGCCGCCCCACCAGTTATCACCCTCCCCATGCCCTAAACCGCCACCCAACCCCGAAGGATCCCGACCCCCTAGGTGCTTCCCCGTCGGAGGTGGATGAGGCTCGCTTTGAGAAGGCGCAGTGGCGGCCAGTCGCTGGGCGGCGCGGGACGACGCTACCGTGCTCGCCATCACCGACCTCCTGCCACTGTCTGAGCAGCATCACTTCGAACTGGAGGTGACAGCCAAGAGCCTTTTCGACGCGGTAGTCAAACGGTACTCCACCCCGACCACTGCGTCCCTCGGTCGTTCTTGTGCTGCCCTTTCCTTTTCCCCGACCTCCCTCGTTTCCGCGGTGTTGCTGACCTCATTCTGCACTTGCGCTCGCTTGATGCCCAGCTCCGCTCTGCTGCCCCTGACCCCGACCTGCTTGCCACCAATCCCCCCCGCGATGTGGATGACACTGTACCTCCTTTCCACCCGCCTCTCTGACCGCTTTGCCACTGCTCGTGACCATTTCCTCACTGTTAACCCCATGTCCCTCACTATTGACCTCTTTGCGAAGAGGCTCACTTCTGTTGAGGACCTTGCCCACTCCCTTGCCGCTGCCTCTAGTACCGTCCTCCCCCCCATCTTCGAGGGGTGTGCTCCTTCGTTCCTTGCCTCTTCTGTCGACTCGGCCTCTGTTGCCACTGCATCCGAGGTTGCAGCTGTTGCCTTTGGCAACAAAGGGGGCAAGAAGAGCGGTAAGAAGGGAGGAGGTGGTGGCAGTGGTGGGGGTGGCGGAGGGGGCAGCGGTGGAGGTGGTGGAGGGGGCGGTGGTGGAGGTGGTGGAGGGGGCGGTGGTGGGGGGGGCGGCGGGAGTGTGGTGGCGGCGGCGGAGGGGGGTGGGAGTGGCAGTGGAGGAGGAGGTAGTGGGGCGTCCCAGCAGCAGCAGCCCCAGCAGCAGCAGCACCAGCAGCAGCAGCAGCAGCAGCCACAGCAGCAGCCGGCAGCAGCAGCTCCAAGGCCAGCGCCAGCAGACCCAGCAGCAAGCTGTGGGGGCCGCCTGGACCAGGGAGCTCTGTCAGCAGCAGCGGCCCACCCAGCTGGATGTCACGTGGCCCGGCCCAGCACCCCCCCCTGCCAGTACTGGGTGCAGACTGGGCCGCGCAGAGACTGCATCTGTGGCCGCTTTCACCCTGCGGGTCAGTGCTTTGCGCAGCTTACTGACCGCGTACCGCGCCCAGTTTGGCCTCACCCGCTCAGCCCCAGACTGGGCCCCACTGGTCCGCACTGTTGGCACGCAGTTGTATCGCATGTCTGCCGCATAGTTAGACGCAGAGTTAGATAATGCTGTACGATCTGCTTCTGTGATGTATGCTGATGACTCTAGTGTTGATCGTTTCCGGCTTTTACTCTTGTTTGTCTAGCTTAGGTGCTGTAGAGGTTGCTAGTGCTGTACTAGCTAGAGTAGCTTGCACAGGTCCGACCACCCGGCCAGCGTCCCTTTCGTTCACGCTCGACTCTGGAGCGTCCAGCTGTTTCTTTCGTGACCACACCGACCTCACGCCGCTACGCACCCCGGTCACTATCTCCTTGGCTAACCCCTCAGTGGAGCGGTGGTTGCCCACAGCACCACTACTCTCCCGTGTCCGGCGGCTCCCTCTGGGGTCCTTACAGGTTACTACACCCCCTTGTTCTCCAGAAACTTGGTGGGTGTCAGTCACCTCCACGACCTCGGAGTAGTCACCACTTTTCCTTTACACGAGCCGGTTGCTTCCTGCACAGACGGTGTCACTGGGGCTCCTCTGGATACTTTCCCCAGGGAGCCGGGCTCTGGTCTTTACTCACTACACTCTGGGTCTCGCCACACTGGTTCAGGTCAGGTCAGGGTCAGGTCAGGTAGCTGCTGTGTCGTGCGACTGTCGGTCACTCACCCACCGTCGGTCCTCTGGCACCACTGTCTAGGTCACCCGTCGTTCCCCCGTCTTAGTAGGATGGCACGTTACCGTCTGGTCTCCGGTCTCCTAGAGTCGCTTGCACCGCTTCCCCGCTCGCCTGCGCCGTCGTGCATTCCCTGCGTCGAGGGTCGGCAGCGCGCTTGCCCCTCACTCCTCCTCGTTCCCCCCCTACCACGGCTCCCTTCCAGACCCTGCACTTGGACGTCTGGGGCCCCTCCCCGGTCCTTGGGCCACGTCAGGAGCGCTACTTCCTGATTGTGGTGGACGACTACTCCGCTACACCACGGTTTTCCCCTTGCGACGGAAAGGCCGACCATGCCTACCGTCCTCGAGCCGTGGCTACTAGCGTGGGGGTGGCGGGGCAAGGGCCTGTGTGGGCTCCGCCTACACTCGGACCGTGGTGGTGAGTTTTCTTCCACTCCCCTGGAGACGTTTCTGTCAGGGTCGGGGGATCATCCAGTCTTACACGCTACCAGCCTCGCCGCAGTAGAACGGGGTAGCCGAGCGACGGATCGGCCCTGGTCATGGAGGTTGCCCGGACCTCCATGTGCCATGCCGGTGCCCCCCAGTTCTTGTGGCCTCAGGCAGTCCGCTACGCCGCGCACCAGCAGCTGAACCCGTGGCCCAGTGACGCACAGGCCACGGGTGACGCCGGTCTCCCTTTGGACAGGTTCTCCGGGCGTAGCAGCTGACTTCCGTGTCTGGGGTTCTCTGGCTCACGTTCGCGCCCCTGGCGCGAACAAGTTGTTCTCCGCGTACTCGTGCCTGCGTCTTTCTTGGCTTCCCTTTGGACGCCTCATGCTGGGTGTTCTACGACCCGGTCACCTACGAGTTTTTCGCTTCTCAGGACGTCACAATTCGATGAGTCTGTCTGTTACTACAGGGAGTCGCCCCCACCGAGGTACTGAGGCCTTTTCCCCCCCGCTGTTCCTCACCCTTGAGCCCCCCCCCCAGTCGCGCCAGTAGGCCCCCCCTCTTCGCGTCCTGCCCCGTCAGGTGTGTCGCACGTCACTCCGCAGTCGTCCCCCCCGCAGCGTCCAGACCCTGTCGTGTCTAGGGGTGCGGGAGGTACAGTTGCGGAGGGTGTGTCGGCTCTGGGGGTGCAGGGGGTGGGGGCGTGGAGGCCACTCCCGTGAAGGACACAGCAGCCTCGACTCGGGCGGCCTCGGCCCCGCGTCACCCCCCTGGCTTCCCGTCCGTCCCGCAGTTCCCTCCTCGTTCTTCTCTACGGCAGGTTGCTGCGGAGCCTGGGGGTGTTCCTGCGGGAGGTAGTGGAGGGCCCCGGGGGTGTCGGTGGTGGAGGTGTTGGTTCCGTGGGGGTGCTGGAGCTGGAGGCACTGGCACTGGTGGCGCCTACACCGCGCGCTGTACGTTTCCTGACCCGTGAGCAGCGTCTCCTCCGTTTGGAGAGGGAGGAGCGTGAGCGGTTTGAGAGGGCACAGCAGCAGCAGCAGCAGCAGGAGCAGGAGCAGGAGCAGTCTTAGTCGCAGCAGCAAGAGAGTGTAGAGGAGGAGCCACAGCAGCAGCAGGAGAGAGCAGAGGAGGGGCCTCGACTACAGCAGCAGGTGCAGTTGCAGCCACAGCAGGAGAGAGTAGAGGAGGAGGCACGAGTGCAGCAGCGGGTGCAGTTACAGACACAGCAGGAGAGAGTCGAGGAGCCACGGCCGCACCAGGAGAGGGTAGCGCAGGAGTCCCGGTCGCAGCAGCGGGTGCAGCTGCAGTCGCAGCAGGAGAGGGTAGAGGAGGAGCCACAGGAGCAGCAGGGGGCCGGTACCGTCGCAGCAGGAGCACAGCAGGCGACGGCAGCGAGGACGCGACAGCGACACTGCGACGCTTTGTTCCCTCCCCTACCGTCCCTTCGTCGTCCCCTCCCCTACCCTCCCCCAGTTCTGTCGTGTTCCCGTCCTTTCCCGTCCCAGCAGCGTCGTCGACTCTCGTCGTCGTCGCCGTGCGCCTCCGTCCCCTGTCGTTCCCTTTCCGTGCCCCACTCCTCTCGTCCCTCCACTGCCCCTGAGTCGTCATCCCTGTCTTCACGACCTCCTGCCACCGTCTCGTGCTTCCACCCCGCCTCCCGTCCACTCCCGCCGCTAGTCGTCTCCCGTGTTTTCTCCGCGTTGGTCACTCACCCGACTGCACCCGTGTCGTCTGTCTCAGCACTTGTTACCACCTATCGCTTGGCTTTGCCTCTTCCCACCGCCTGGACTACGCCGCTCACTTGGTGAGTGGCCTTGCTCGTTCTCCGTCCTCTAGGGGTGCTCCTGTCCTTTCCCTTGGAGGTCCTAGAGGACAGGCAGTTTCGAGCTTGGTTTCCTTGCGTCCGCTGTTCCTCATCTCTGCGCCATGCTGCTTGCCCCTGAGGGGGATCCAGACGCCCTTGACATCCCGATCCCTTGCACTCACGCTGAGGCGGTCTCGGGACCTTGGGCCTCGTACTGGATAGCAGCTGAGGAGGCAGAGATGGCATCTTATAGGTCCACAAGGCACTTTACGTCGACGCAAGTCCCACCTCCTGGGACGAACGTCGTCACGTGGCCGAGTGGCTCTACAAGGTGAAGCGGCCGCCTGGATCACCCACCAGTGTTCAAGGCGCGCTACGTGGCGAGAGGCTTTAGTCAGCGAGAGGGGGTGGACTTCTTCCAGACCTTCGCTCTCACCCCGAAGATGAGTACTCTTCGGGTGTTGCTGCATATTGCAGCCCAGCGCGACTACGAGTTGCACTCCTTGGACTTTTCCACCGCGTTCCTTCAGGGGAGCCTGCACGAGCAGATCTGGCTGCGTCGCTCGCCTGGCTTCACTGGCTCTTTCCCACCTGGGACCCAGTGGCAGCTGCGTCGACCAGTCTACGGCCTGCGCCAGGCTCCACGCGAGTGGCACGACACACTTCGCTCGACCCTTGCAGCGCTTGACTTCTTTCCGTCGTCTGCCGACCCGTCACTGTTCGTCCGCCGTGGCTCGACCCCGTTCTTTGTTCTTGTTTACGTTGACGACCATGGTCTTTGCCACTCCCGACCGACACGCACTGGCCTCCGTGAAGGAGGAACTGCAGAGGAGACACACTTGCACTGACCTTTGTGAGCTGCAGCACTACCTTGGCATGCAGATCACTAGGGGCAGGGCAGCTCGCACCATTACGCCGACTCAGTCGCATATGGTCGAGCAGATCCTCACGCGGTTCCGCTTCCCGTTCTCCAAGGTACAGCTCACCCCTCTTGGTGTGGATCATGGGCTCACGGCTCCACCTTCGGACGAGTCATTTGAGTCCAGTGTCCATATCCTTAGCTGGTAGGTTGTCTCATGTACCTGATGACCTGTACTGCCCCAGACCTAGCTACCCTCTTAGCGTCCTTGCGCGCTTTGTTGCGCCTGGGAGACACCGACCGTCCCACTGGTACGCTGCTAAGAGGGTGGCGAAGTATGTGGCGAGTACATCAGGCATGAGACTTGTCCTTGGGGGGAAGCAGCCAGTTACACTCACAGGTTACTCGGACTCGTCGTGGGCCGACGACGCGGAGACGCGTCGGTCTACATAGGGGTACTCCTTTAGCCTCGGGGCAGGCGCTGTTTCGTGGCGGTCGACTCGGGCATCGTCCGTGGCCGGTTCCAGCTGTGAGGCAGAGGTGTACGCTGCGGCCATGGCCGCTCAGGAGCTTCGCTGGCTGTCTTTCCTTCTCACCGACCTTGGTGAGCGGCCTCGCTCTCCCCCAGTCTTGTTCGCCGACAACAGGTTTGCTGTCCTGTTGTGTGAGGAAGCCCCGACTGGTTGGGAAGGCGAAGCACATCCAGCTTCGTTACTTCCTTCTGCGTGAGTTGCAGCAGCGTGGCCAGGCACTCGTACGACGTGTGGTCTCTGAGGCCAACGCTGCAGATATCTTCACCAAGGCGTTGCCGCCTTGTGACCACCAGCGTTTCTGCACCCAGCTTGGCCTTGTGCCTACCCATCCTCACTTGCTTACGTAGAGATGCTTTGTCCTGCTTGTCTTGTACTCCTGCATCGTATTATATTTGCTATATATCTGCTTGTGGACTGGCCTTGTGGCCCCTTGCTTGTCCTCGGAGTGTGTGGTAACTTTGAGCTCCACCCTGAGATTTGTCTTGTTCTTGTGGACTAGTCTTGTGACCCTTGCTCGTTCTTGCTGATTGGTCATGTGACCCTTGCTTGCTCTCAGACTGTGTGTGTCCTTGAGACCCACCCTGAGATATGTGTTTGCTTTCCACAAGACTGCCGTCCACCTAGACTATGGGGTGTGTCAAACTATATTTTTATAGTTT